GCTCAAGAAGAGCATCTACTGCAGGCATAGCCTCGAGGCGGACATCGCCATCTTCCTCACCCGTCATACCGTTGACAAGGGTGTATAACAGTGTGCTATCGTCTTCGGTAGACACAGGGTCGACGCCTGGCGTCTTGCAGCCAGCATACGGCGTCACCGTTGCCTATGTACAGAGGTTATATGTCTCGGTGAGTCCAGGGTGAGCACGCATTCTGCGTCGTTTGGTGTTACCCTCACTGTCTGCTCCTTTGGATTTCCGATGTTATCTACAACATCAGACGAAAAGCTGCTAACCCCGCAGTCTTCGTCCAGTGGATAACGTGCCACTCAACGCGCATCTGAAGGGCCGTGTCGAAGATGCCTCTGACTCTGTCGGACCACGCCATCAATGGCACGTAGCGCTTACATCGCAACGAGAGCTGTGCTCAGTGTTTTACGTGCCACTCCACGTGCATCACGGGGGCCTCGCCCTCAATGCCTCGGACCTTGGCCGACAATGTCACACATGACATGCAGCGACTGCTCCGAAACTTGAGTAGCGCTCAGTGGGTTACGTGCCACTCTACGATCAGCCCGCGAGCCACGCTCGGAACTCCTGTCTGATACAACGTTGGGATCTACCAACTCGGACATTCCAATGTCCAGCACGTTGACCTTCTCGGCCCAGTGCTCTCGCCAACAGCGTTTTTGTCTTCTAGCAGAGGTAGGTTCATGACTCGCTAATGTTCCACCAGGAGACGTGCGTGTAGCGCCTAAGGTCTATTGTCTCCAATCAATCCATGGCTCACGGTGTTCCAACCATGCCATTCGTAGGATGAGGTCATACCTTGCATACTTGTCTAGCATTCCACGCTATCAAGACAAGGAACCTGACTCCGAGGTCCACCGGGACCCTCGGGACCGTGACACGTGTCCCCGTCTCTAGGCGAACAGTGACGATATCACCCAACCGCGCTTTCAGCGCCTCGGCATACAGCTGATTTCCTTCCATCGCGGAGCGTCTAGTATAGTTGCCCGAAGCCCCGGAATCGATGAGGATCTTCCATGGCTTCTCGAAGCCCTTTACGGTTACCTCCACAACCAGCAAGCCCGGCTTCCATGCACGTTCTGTGTTCAAGATCACGGAGGTCTTCGGGGCTGGGCCCTGTTGACCTCTACCTCCCTGAGGCTCAACAGAACTCAGTTCTTCCCCAGCAGGACGCTCCACGCCTCCTGGATGGTGTCGTATTCCCGCGACGAACCAGAATGGTAGGAATTGTGGCGATGGTCCGAAGAACCTTGACGCGGCTTGCGCCAGGGGCAACTGTTTCGAAAGTGACGGGTGTCTCCACAGAGCTTTTGGATTTAATCGGAAAAGTTTAGCCTTGGGTTAATGTTGTAATTACTCTTGGAGTAAGCGGATTGCGATCCGCTAAGCTCCTACTTGTTCTAAGTATAGAACGAAAGGTCGGTGACTCAAGTTACGACTTCTCAAAGCGCAAAGCTACGGCAGCCCCGCTGCACTTGGTAGCACTTGTAGTCAATTAGCACCTGAGTCGTTTAAATTAATCCTCTGTGAGGATGGAAATTTTTTTATCTTTGCTTCAGGGCATGCTGAACGGGCTTAAAAAGCTGATGCCCTTGCTTGGCTCTGAGGGCGTGCAACACCTTGCTGCACAAGGCCCCGAGACACGCGTCTAGAGGCGTTTTAAATTACGAAAACGCGCTGCTAGAGCACCTGCAGCAGAAGATTTCTGCATCATTTACGTCTATGACGCCATTGTCAGTGACTGATGATATTCCCCGCCCTAAGGCGCTCATGGAGAGCGTAAAGATCCTCGAAGGGAAGGATGGAGAGAATATCCTGCTATGGGTGAGAGAGAGGTCGTGGTGGCCATCGCATCCGCCATGCC